ATGAGATCAATAACCTTCCTAGTATGGGACACAAAATAAGAAATAAAATATTGTATACGAAATAATATATGCATGTTTCTATAATTTCACACTCTCCCTCAAACTCGAGATGGTTTCGTAGAAATCGTGAAGAGTTATAGAGAAACTAAGAGAATTAAGGTGTAATATGTGTTTTGATGAATAAGTCAACCAACTACTCAGAGGAGGCGATATATGGAAGAGAAAGTGCGCCTGCCAAATATTCTTGTCGTACAAGGTGACAATTGCACTCTTATTGTCGCAATGAAGTAGTGTGGGAGTGATAATAGCAACATTCATGCCAACAAGCAACCTTCAAAGCCAAACAATTTTAGTTGTAATTTGCGCCATTGCCCTATATTCAAATTTTATTGTAGATTGGGCAATCTTTTTTTAATTCTTACTTTTTTAGGATAAAAGAGAGTTACTAAGAAAAACAACAAATCCTTTAGTTGATTTGCGATCACTTGGGTTCAGTGCAAAATCTTAGTACGCATATGCCCAAATTTCAATTGAGAAAGAAGAAGAGAAAGACAAAGCCTAGTGTTAAGTATCATTGACAAACTGAATAATACGTAAGATTGCAACTAAGTAGACGAAGCGGGAGCACTCAGGAATTGGCTAACCAAATGGACAACATTAACAATATATGGACAATAAATTATCAGATATATCAATTTCCCAACCAATTGGCAGTAAAAATTTGGGTCAAGGAGACATTCAATTCAGTGGGAGTGTCAACTATCTTAAAATTATCTGTGAGGCGAGCCCCAGAGATAATTTTTTAGGCATACTTGTGTTGAGATAATAGATATATGTTAGAAGAGTAAGCAACTTTTAAGCCAATAAAATATCACAAGAACTCCAAGTCTTTCATTTCAAATATTTAATTGTATTTTTGTTTAATCTCATGAATGGTGCCCACATCATCTTCAAAATTATCATATCATCCATATAGAGTAATAGAAGTGCTCATCGAGTAGAAGTATCAAACATAAATAGGCCTGGATCACAATGGCTTTGTCCAAATCTTGTGACAATATTACAAAATTTTTAGTCAAGCATAAGGTGCTTGTTTGAGTCCATTCAAGGGTCGAAACCTACATACCCTAATTTGAGAATCTGTAATTCCAGGACGTGACTTCATGTATACTTCTTCGTCAAGGTCACCATTGAGAAATGTATTTTTGACATCTTGTTGGTATAAAGGACATTATCAGATAGATGCAAGATAAATAAGTGTCCAAACAATTGTCATATGTGATACTAGGGTAAGGGTTTTAGCAAAGTCAATTCCATATTGTTGGTTGGTTGTATCCGTTTTCCACAAGATGAGCTTTATATCATTCAATGCTTCCATCTGCTTTTGTTTTGATTTTATATACCTACAGAAAACCAATAGCTCTATTTTCTTTCCGGAGATGTACAAGATTCCAATCATGCATTCGATTTAGAGCATTCAACTCTTCTACCATTGCCTACTCCCATACAGACCGACTTGTGGCTTCTTTATAAGTCTGAGATTCGTAATAAAAATGAACTGAAAGTAAGTAAAGCTTGGTGGTGAGGTTAAAAGCTTTTATAATCTGCAAAGCATGCAAGTGGGATAGAGACATAGATGCTTCGTCAAACAACAAGGATTTCAATAGGATCAGCAGATGGAGGCATCTGATTAGGACTTTCACTAACAATTGGTTGATCTGATCTTTTAGTACAAAAACAACATTAGAGCTTTCAGAAGAGGTTGGAACAATATCAAAAAAGGGGACAAGAAAAGAAAGGTTACAAGATAAACTATCAACAGTATTTTTCTGAAAGACAGGAGCATGTTTTGAAAACACAACATGTCTGGATACCCGAAATTTGTTAACCATTGGATAATAGCATCGATATCTATTTTGGTAATCAGGATAACTCAAGAAGCAATATTTTAAAACTTTGGGAGATAACTTGTCTCTCTCAATTGGGGGCAAGTACACCAAAAAGTATAACCAAACACATGAAGAAGAGAATAAATAGGTGGTCAAGTGCACATTTTTCAAAAGGTGCCTTTCTAGATAACATAAAGGATGAAATAATATTGAAAAGATAAGTTGTTGCGCGCATAGCTTCTACCAAGAATACATAAGTGGATAGAAGAAGTGCCTTGTGATGTCTAAAATATGATGATTTTTATGCTCTATAATACCATTTTTCTCTAGAGTGCAAGGACATGATTTTGGGTGTTGAATATTTTTGTTAGAGACAAAGTTTTGCATCCCAATAATATATTCTCCTATCAAATCTACATGTAGTGCTTTTATTGTAGTAGAAAATTGAGTATCTTCATAGGAGTAAAGTGAAATTTTTGTAAAGTTCAGCCCAATTGTTCATAAATAAAACTCATGTATAGTGAGTGTGATCATCAACAAACGTTACAAAATAACATGATCCCCTTTGAAAAGAATAGGTAGTATAGATCTCCAACATTATGCCCAGTCCCAGTCAACTTTCTTGACAGTTGATCGTGTATGTAACAACTAGAAGGAGAAAAGACAAACTTATAATTTGAGCGTGCGGTCTAGCTAGCAGAAAGAAGATTCATAGTAATTGAGGGGAGATAATAGACATAAAAAACACTTAATTTACCAGAAGGATGACACATGAGAGAAATAAAGCCAATTTTTTGAACTTCTATGGTGGCTCCATCAACAATATGAATGATATCAAAAAAAGACTTACAGTTAACCAGGATAGACTCATTAGTTGTTATATGACAAGAAACTCTTGAGTCGGTCAATGAAGGTGTCGAAATCTTATACATCATTCATTATGTCAGGGATGTTGGTTGGAGAGGAATAAAGAGAGAGAGGAGTACTCAAGTGAACTCTAGAATCGGGGGCCAAAACCTCAGCCATGTTCCATCACACGGCATGCATATTGATAAATCGTTCGAGAAGGCACGATATCCACCTTTGGGTGACGCTTATGCATATGCGAGAGATACTCCTATGCGCCATAGAGTTGTGGTCGCATCAGGTCGTGGTGACATTGACTCGTCTCTAGGGAAGGACCTGTAATCCACAAACTGAGATTGCGACCCCTTGGCTTATTGGCCAGACTTTGGTGACTCGCTAATGAGCCCCTGCTTGGATTGTGGGTCATGAGAAATACTGGGTCGGTTTGATAAAGCAAGTGTGGTCTGTAGTCCACAGTTGAAGGTGGAGTACCCCGTGATCGTTGATAGAATTCTTGAACTATATGGATCCACTTCCCATTATATTAATTTAATGGTGTTCATGTTATTATTAAATTATTTTAGATTTATTATTTGAATTTTTATAAGTCATTTGATATTTTATTTCTTATTTTTGGACTTATAAAATGAAGTTATTAATTTACAAAGTTATAATGTTTTAAAATTCATTTTGTTTAATTTTAAAATATTTATTAAAAAATACTTGGAGGCCCATAGTGCACATGGGCCCACCATGTGGGTATTAGGTGGGGCCCCACATACCATACATGGGTGGCACGCACCACCCTTGGATACCTTCTCTTGTTGCTTTCTCTTCAAGTTTATTAACTATGGTAACTATATCTTGTAGCATATGGTCAAATATTGATTAGGAAATATTGACCATGTCTTATCTTGATTATTGAATGAATATCTTGACTTGATATTTTTGAAATATTCTTATGGAAAATATGAGATGGAATATGCAATTTATGGTATGCACTATATCTTTAATATATTTAATTTATTTAAATATATTGATAAGAAAATGGTTTAAGGAAAGGGGATAATGGTTCATGCACATTCCATAATGTTGATGACCTATCTATGAAATGGATGGCTCAGATCTCTCACCCCACAAGTCACCTTAATCAAATATTCAATCTCAACAAATAGGCAAACTATGAGAAACATTAAAGAGACCTAAATTTCACTATACATAAAGGTGCTCTCCCTCATTTCTATACATCCATCTCTCTCTCCCATAAACTCTCTCTCTCTCTT